GACAGGATAAACAAAAGCCAAATTAGATGGTCATTTGAGTTTTGTAAATTCAGTAAATTTCTCACCTGATGGTACTACATTAGCATCTGGTAGTAGGGATAACTCTATTCGTGTATGGGATGCTAAGACAGGATAATAAAAAGCCAAATTAGGTTGTCATTCATCAACTGTTATTTCAGTCAATTTCTCTCCTGATGGTACTACATTAGCATCTGGTAGTCTAAATAACTCTATCAGTTTATGGGATGTGAAGACAGGATAAGAAAAAGTCAAATTAGATAGTCATACTAGAGGAGTCATGTCAGTCTGTTTCTCTCCTGATGGTACTACATTAGCATCTGGTAGTTAAGATAACTCTATTTGTTTATGGGATGTTAATACATAATAATAATAAGCCAAATTTAATGGTCATTCAAGTTGTATTAGATCAGTCAGTTTCTCTCCTAATCTTACTACATTAGCATCTGGTGGAGATACCTCTATTTGTTTATGGAATGCTTAGACAGGATAATAAATAGCCAAGTTAGATGGTCATATTAGGGAAGTCATGTCAGTCTGTTTCTCCCCTGATGGTACTACATTAGCATCTGGTAGTGCAGATAACTCTATCCGTTTATGGGATGTTAAGACAGGATAATAAAAAGCCAAATTAGATGGTCATTCAGATTATGTTATGTCAGTCAATTTCTCTCCTGATGGTACTACTTTAGCATCTGGGAGTATAGATAGGTCTATCCGTTTATGGGATATTAAGAAAGGATAATAAATAGCCATATTACATCGTTATATTAGTGAAGTCACGTCAGTCTGTTTCTCTCCTGATGGCACTACATTAGCATCTGGTTATAAAGATATGTCTATCCGTTTATTCGACGTTAAGACAGGATATTCTAAAACAAAGGATGATCATCATTTTGGATCTGTATGTTCAGTCTGTTTCTCCACTGATGGTACAACAATAGCATCTGGTAGTTCAGATAAATCTATATGCTTATGGGATGTTAAGACAGGATAATTAAAAGCCAAGTTAGATGGTCATACTAGTAAAGTCATGTCAGTCTGTTTCTCTCCTGATGGTACTACATTAGCATCTGGTAGTAGCGATAAGTCGATTCGTTTATGGGATGTTGAGAAAAGATAAGAAAAAGTCAAATTAGATGGTCATACTAGTGAAGTCATGTCAGTCTGTTTCTCTCCTGATGGTACTACCTTAGCATCTGGGAGTATAGATAGGTCTATCCGTTTATGGGATGTTAACTTTGGATAATAAATCTCACCTTCAAATACGTGTTACAAAAATATACTAGCATAATTTTACCCATATCATTTTAAAAATAACATTGTTTAAGAAAGTGGTATTATTTTTTCCTATTTTTAGTTTCCACCAATGTTTCTATCCTTTTAATATCACAACAACTAATTTTTTAATCATAAGGTGCTCTAATCTTGAAAGGAGAATTCCATAATTAAACAGCCATTAACTTAAGAAAGTCGTTCCAATAAAGAGGAAGTTTAATTCTAGATAATTACATAGAGTTTAAATAAATTTCTAAAGATAATTGAAAGATATAATATAAACCTTTTTCAATTATGACTTCTATTTTCTATAAATTCTGATTATTATTTATTAAAATTTTTATTTTCTTCCTTTATTAATTTCAATT